TTTTTTTTGCTTTCTTTTTCCAATATTTCTCTTCCTACACTCTATATTTTGAATTTACACCCCAATAATATATTAAGTTTATATTAAGTTTGAGCTTTGAATCATTATAACTTAGAGTTCATCCCATGAGAATCAGTATTTAAAAAAAAAAACAAAAACAACTGTATAAAGTGGTTCGTTTACCAATTGTACCTGACGACTTGAGAACCCATGAAATTCTAATTGCACTACAAATGTAGGTATATGTGTATTTATTAATATATAATTCATAGCTCTGTTTAACTACACTGATCACTGTTTACACCATAAATGAAATTAAATATATATATTTATTTAATTTCATTTGCTTATCTGCGTATGCACGCATCTACAGTTGCTAATATCTAGCTATTTTTTATATTCGCATATATATATATATATATATATATATATATATATATATATATAATTATTTTATTTAAAAATATGATTCCATCGCTACACAGGAATTACCATGTTTCAAAATCAGAAGCTAAAAACTTCCAGTTCAGTTAGAGAAATTAAATTAAATTAGACTACATAGTTCTGTTTCATTTTCAATCGAATAAACAGTTACATTGGTATATGCAAGTTACTACGACAAAAATGCATCGATGTTTCGACGTCTAAAGACGTTTCTTCAGGTGATTAACGATGATTTTGTCGTGGTAACTTGCATGTTCCTATTTAATAGTTTATAATAAATATTTATTGTTCTACTCCTGTGTTGAGCTCTTTTTAAATTAATTTTATTAAGGTTTGTATTCATATTCTTTTCGTTCTTTTACATTATATATATATATATATATATCCGTCTTCTCAATTTAAACTTTAAGAATCTATGGAGGAAGTGTTTTCCAACATTTTCTTATTTTGATCAGATTCGGTTTTCCAGGCTAGTTGGCTACATCCACGATCTTATTTCTAAAAAAAATACTGTCTGTTTCTAATAAGACTAAATTGGAATTTTTCGTTCGTAATCGTTTTGGATGTAATGATGAACTTACTGGAGTTAGAATTGTTTTCAATTTTTCCACTTATCAATCTTCTGAAATTGAGACCCGTATCCTTGCTCATGGTTTGGAAATTTGGGTTCCTTTCCCAATGCCAGACCGTGAGAAGATTTTTGCTGAATTTGAGGTTCAATTTGCGCATGCTCATAGACTCAAGACTTGTTCTTCGGAGTCTCTCAGTGACCTTAAGGCTGAACTTAATTGTTTTGCCCATTTATCTGCTGGTTCTTCTGTTGCCTTTTCTGAATCTAAATGGGGTGAACAACATCGCCGTGTAACTAAGGGTATACGAAATAGTCACAACCTAGTTATTACTAAACCTGATAACGGTGCCGGTGTTGTTTTGTTGGACGATTCCGATTATATTTCGAAAATGGATAGTATTCTCAATGATATGTCCAAGTTTTTAAAATTAGGTCCAGTTGAGACCTAGGATTGTACTTCTTCTATAGAAGTTAAGATTCAAAAGCAATTGGTACAATGGGTTAGAAATGGATTACTTACTTCTGATATTTCTTCTCTTGTTTCTAGCCACATTTTTTCTATTTCTTAAAACCCTTCTTATCTTTTGGAATGCGTCTTTGGCTAACCCAATATGCCTTCGAAAAAAACCACAAATTCATAATGACATATCCAAATTCAGAGTCACATATGTACAAACATATCATGCGATAGACAGATAGCATGAGAACATTTAGAATCGACTGAAATAGATTTGTCTTAATCATTTCACGCCCAAACAAGGCAATAAAACCACTAAGACGCAAGGGGATTACAGAGTGTGAGAGATAATAAGAAAACAGGAATTAAGATTGAATAAAAGAACAGAAATTAAGAAGACAGAAGATAACGATTGACATTACATTTAAATTTGTGACAATCAAAGTTGACTGGAATGCAAAAAGGCTGAAGAAATTTCCACAATCGTTAAGTGCAAGAGAAGAAACTGTTATTTAAATAATTTACATTGTTCGGACTATTGCCTTCATTTTTATAACCATATTCACGACGTTTCGGGTGTTGTACGCTCCGGCCTTCTTCAGGTGGTTGAAATCTCGAAACTGAACTCTTTATTTCGTCCACCGGGTTAGATTATTCTAGTTTCACGTGTCATTCCTCTTCCGGATATTTTAGTTATCTCCCTTTAACTCAACTCATCAAGTTTTTGCTCACGACCTCAGTAGCCGGGTATTGAACTCCCAACTCTTGAGTCAAGTCACTGGATCCAACCAACGCTTTTATCCACTGGGCCATGCGTCGTCGAGAACAAATGGCACAGTTGAGTTAAAGGGAGATAACTGGGACATCCAGAAGAGGCAATGAACGCGGAACTAGATCAATCTACCCTGATGGACGAAATAAAGTTTTCATTTGAAAATCCAGTCATGAAGAAGAAATCCGGGTCGTAAAACGTTCGAAACGTTGTGAATATGGTAATAAAGATGAGGACAACAGTCCAAACAATGTAAATAATGTAAACAATTACAACAACTCATTTGAGAAATATCAACAAATAAAGAAGCTGTTGGCCTAGAAATTACGGTTATATATAACCATTTCAACTGTAAGATGGTGAGACCTTATCGCCAATCTAGTAGTACGCTTAAATGAATACAGTCTAGGTCATCAAAGAGAAAATCACATCAGAAGAATTACCATGAACATATTTACAGAAAATGAAGAGGGAAGGTAGATTATGTGCTGTGTGAAAGTGACTAGAGCCTAGATACCAAGCCAGGACCAATGACATTGAAGGAACTTCTTTTTTATTTTATAACAATATCTCTAAATACATAGCAGAAGTTCTAGACCAGATGTGACGGCAATATTTAAAGCAGAGCCGAACGGTAGACTTATAAATGTGTATGATAGATTCTGGAGAGAAATATTGTCTAGCTCGACACAATCAACCTACTTTCGTAACAGACATAGAACGACTTTGACGGATATATTATAATAATGTCATCTAATGCATTCCCACCATGACCCGTTCGTTTGGTCTTTTATGCAAGAAATCAACAGTAACTCAGAGACATTATAGTTACACCTTTGAGCAAATTAAAACAAAATGAATAATTCCCTTATTATTTACGTTTCTTTCGTGTTTTCCAATGAATCATAATCCAGTGCACATGTTAGTACTTCGAATATCTATTCCACGATGTCGTTCTTTGAGGATTGACCATAAATTCTCGATTGGATTTTAATCAAGAGAGTTTCCGGGCCTGTCTATAGTACTTTGATTTGCTCACTGGTAAGGCTTGTCAGTGTTTTCATGCAGCGTTACAATTTTCGTTCACTACCTTGGAGTAAGGCCCATCGCAGACAATGACTGTTGGACAACTAATCGACAGTCAAGACAATAGTGTCTGAGCCTGATGAAAATCTGATGCAATCATGGATGACGCAATATTCTTCAAGGCTAAACAAATTTCATCATACACCCCGAAAATAGATTCAAATTACTGCACACCAGTGCAAATGACCTAATATGAGGAAAAAATAGCAATCGCTTACACCCTGTCACTCCAGTCGGTCTAAAAATGACCGTATAGCGAAAGTAAAGTTAAGTAAAGCGGTTGTTTCAATTAATTTACTGAAGGGTGTATAGACAGTTGTATTACAGGAATAGATAGTTTGAACCTCAACTAAAATAATCCATTAAGAAATTATGTTGAAGATGACTACTGAATGTATTAGTCACATGTCTTTTTTTTGTTGTTTTTTTTTTTTTGGGGGATACGAGTTGTCTTTCTCATCCGTCGGGTGTCCCCAAAAGACTGAAAACCTAAGACTACCCTACGATTTTCACCCATACCTAGGGAGAAAAGAGATGGATTCATACCTTTCCCAAGGAAATTGAATATATCGAATTCGACTGCTCAAAAAAGTATCTTAATATAAAAAATGGCACCATATAATGAAATGGATTAACTCTGACAATTATTTAATATATTTTCTATTTTCACGTTAGTTTAATTTAAGCAAATGCTCTGTTTTTAATTGAACGGTATTAATTACATTTTTCGGCCTGAATGTTTGAGAAATTTTGTAGAAAATATGCGTCCTCCAACAGTCATCGAACCTGTATCCGTATACGGAAACCGACATTTGACATGACGTGCTGTACTATATGTTATCATTGTTTACACTAAGATACGTTTTGTGAGCAGGAATGATCGATCGGGAAAACTCGTCGAAGATTGTGTTTTATAAACTGTAATTTCGACTTTAATAACCAGACGCTTCTCTGTAGCTGATTGGTACAGCATGTCTGATCAAATGATAGTTACTGTACAGGTATACATATTCAATTTATGTTAAAAGAAGCATATTTTCCGCGAAATTTCGCGAACATTCTGAAGGCTTGTAAATGAAATTACACACACACACACACACACACACACACACACACACACACACACACACACACACACACACACACACACACACATATATATATATATATATATATATATATATATGAATTATTCACACAAAACTAATGCAAAGGTTAATGCTTTAAGTGACGAGACATCCATCATCGCAAACAATTCAAATAGTATACAAAAACCTCCAGATCCGTTATGAATGAATTGATCCTTGTTGATATAAATTTCTGCCGTATTAGTTGTTATTTTTACTACAAGCTTTCGTCTGTTCCTACAGACATCTTCAGGTATAGAATAGATGTTGTTCTTGGTTTTTTCTCTTAGTAATAAGAGGACAACGAAAATATGTGTTCCAAAACCAATAACTCATTTTCAATAGCATTTTCGGATACAACAACACATATTTTCAATTCTCGCTAGTGGATGCGAACTGCTGATGAGTCACAAATATAGGACGAAACGGCCGTCCAGTGCTTTCTGCATTCTGTTGAGGTTTTTTGACTCGATGAATTAATTATATATATATATATATATATATATATATATATATATATATATATATATAAATCGCATAAATACATATATATATATAGACATATAGACTGCATATATATATATATATATATATATATATATATATATTGTGATGGTGATGGAGGTGATCTTGAGAGGTCTGACGCTAGAGTACCGCTTCCTGCTGAATGAGGTCAAAATCCGAGCATTTATAGATCACCTGACGATAATTCAAGATCATAGGAAAGTAGCACAGTTTGTTCTGGTTAGACTTGCAGAGTTGGTAGAATGGAGTTAGATGGCCTTCAAACCGAAGAAAAGCAGGTCACTGTCTATGAAGTCATACATGAAGTGTTTTCCATCGCTGGGGAAAAGACACCAACAGTGCGGAAGCAAGGTGTAAAGAATCTTGGGAGGCGGTATAACTTCCCTCTGACAGATCGTCACCGTGGGATTGAAATCCAGCAACAAGCGGAGGTGGTCCTGTGAAGAATAAACCAGAGTAGGCTTCCCGGAAAATTTAAGGTGTGGTGTATGCATTTTGGATTGATGTCTAGATTAATGTAACCGCTGACTATATATGAGGTATCACTGTCTAGAGTGGAGATTATTGAAAGGAAAATTAGTAAATGCATATGGAAGTGGCTTGGTGTTGTAAAGATTCTGTCGCCGGTCGCTTTGTATGGCAGTTCGGGGGTCCTTCAGTTACTTCTTACTTCTTTGGTAGAGGAGTACAAGGTGGCAAAGGTGAGATTGCAGTCCATGCTGTGTGAGTCTATGGATGTTGTAATCCGGATGAATGTGCCAGAGATGAAGACAGGAAGAATGTGGAAAGTGGCAGACGTGATGTCAGCAGCGGAAGTGACGGTAAAACAGGTAGAAGTTCAAGGTGTTACAAAGAAGGGACGTGCTGGACGTGCTGGACTTGGTCTCGTTGAGAGGGAGAGATTCTGGTCAGATGCCAGTAGACAGGAGCAACGCAAGTTACAGGAACAGGGGGTTCGAAAGCTCGAAGAGTAGAGACGTTTAGTGCAGACTGTCCAGCACGCTCAGCAGGGTCGGTGGCTTAACTGGGAGGGTATTGATGGGTGTTCAGATCAGTTGGTCGGATTGGTGGCGTCTAGGCGCAGGACATTTGAGGTTTCTCATACAGGCAGCATATGATGTGGCAGCATCACCGGCAAATTTGAAGAGATGGGGAGTGCAGGAGTCACCCTCCTGCCGGTTGTGTGGTGCTTATGGAAACCTGCGCCACATACTGTCAGCCTGTCCAAAAGCGTTACAAAATGGCTGGTACACCTACAGACATAACTTGGTTCTGGAGGTTGTGGAAGCAGCTGCAAGAAATGCTAGCATAACCTCATTGAACCTGCGAAAAGTGGCCTTCCTGAAGCAAGGTGCGACTGTCACAAGGCAGAAGACCAGGTCGGAAAACACAAGGAAGTGGAGAGTGTTGGTTGATGCAACACTGCCAGTGGAGGTCATTGCGTCTGGTCTAAGACCAGATCTGGTTTTAGTTGATAGTGAGAAGCAACATCTGTTGCTTGGTGAACTGACAGTAGCATCGGAAGAAGGGACTGGAGAGGCGCATGAAAAAAAGTTGCTTCGATATGAGGAACTGGTGGCTGAAGTCCGTGAGAGAGGATATGGCTGCACCCTGGTGCCATTTGAGGTTGGCTGTAGAGGATTTCCTGCTGCCTCTCTAAAGAGATTCCTCAAGTGTGCTGGGATCCAAAAGCCGGATAAGGTGATTAAGGCTTGTGGTAAAAAAGCGGTGAAAGGCAGTGTATGGATTACCCAGAAATTCTTATCGAGTCGCATCCGATTAACATAAACCGGTGGCAACGTAACATCATCCAGCTGTTGAGGGCCGACCGTGTGGGGAGGTACTGAGCTTAATGGGCCGAAACTTTGTTGAAGCACGGGCGCTCAGATTGCAGCTGGGCTGGAGCACTTGATGTGTATTTGTGTTCTATATATATATATATATATATATATATATATATATATATATATATATATATCTTTTATATATATATATATATATATATATATATATATATATATATAAAGAGAATATGTGTGTTGGATGATACACCTAATTTACATAAGTGGGAGTACACTGACCATATAAATATGGGTTGGTACCGAAAAGACGGAGGAAGTAAGAGAAGATCGAATCGAGAGACTCTGATTGACTGCGATTTAGTCAACCCATTCTGCAGGAACAGTCTTCCCAAGAATATACCAAAACTAACTGTAAATATTGTGTACCTTTCCTTGTTTCAATACATTTTGTTTACGTACATTTTGTGTTGTATTATTATTATTCCATGCTTATCCAAGTTTCAACATGTGTATATCTTTAAGACGATTTTTAGTAGATGCAATTCACTTAAATATATATTTTCACACACACACACACACATACATATATATATATATATATTTCATATACTGAAATGACACTACATACATAAATTCATTGATATATATGGTTGGTCTGACACCTATATCAGCCGAATTTCAAATTATATCACGTGACTTAAACAAAAATATAAAGAGGCCTTAAAAACTGATTCTCATTCATTTGTTACTGTCTTTTCTTTTCAATGATGTACAGAATAAAAAAAAACTTCTATGTAAGACTTTTTTCTTTCATTGTAATTTTTCGCTTGACGCTGGTGTAGATTTCAACTATTTTGGCATTGAAATAGCAGAAAAGACAGTCCCAAATCGATCTTGTCTCTTTTGATGCCTTGCAGCTATAAAAGAAAATATTACTTTACGTATATATGTATTTTTTCCAAGTTTATTTTAGTTTGTTTAAGGGTCGAAGTTTCTTCTTGCTTAGTAACTGTGGTATTTTCACAATGCAGAAAGAAAAAAAAGACATTTCAATTAAAAAAAAAGAAAAAAAATGAATGACAAATGGCCGTTCGTTTATATTTTGCATTCGTGTCGATTTACAATAGATCTTTTCTTCTTTTTTACAACATCAATTACTTTCACTTCTTTCTTGTTTCGAATTTGTCAGTATGGAAGTAAAAGCAATTTGGTTGGTTAAAATTCAAATGTTTTTTAACTCTCGTCTTTTATAGAAATCACTTTCGTCACGTCAGAATCAGACGAATGAAATCGCACATCACACGCATCCGAATTATCTATTTTGATCTTCTCGACTTTCCGTCTTAAATTTTTGACATCAAATAAAAATACACATCACTGAAACTCCCGAGAAATTATTTAATATGAGCGTAAATTTTACCACTTTTTCTTTTTTCATAATTCTTTTTTCTTTTTTTTTTTTATTTGAAATAAAATTTAAGTTGAACTGTCATTTCAAACCTCTCCTTTGAATTTCAAATGAAAATTTTCTTGAAGGAATCATAAAGTTCGGGGAGCACATATTCCTTTTAAAAAATGTATTTTCAAGAATGATCTGTCTAATCTAAGTTCCTGCGATTTTCCGTTATGAGGGTATCAGGTTTGCAGTTCGCAGGTTACTGCATCCGACTGGTAGTAAGGAGCCCGAACTCTTTCTTAGCGATTGGAAGGGCTGCTCTGATCAACAGTCGCATAATATCGGGAAACACTGTGGGCACTTTGTGTTCTAATCTCAGTCACGTTTTCGCTAGTTTGTATTGCCATTGATGACAGATAGTGATAATTATGTTGGCCCTTTTCTTTTGCCCCTCGAAACACGTATTCTTATGACAAAAACTATGAAAAGATATACGACAAATCCAGTAAATCAAAATTCACCTAAACCCATCAACCATTCTTTTTCCAATATTCGTGGTACCTGTGCCAACTTCTGCAATATAGAATCTTTTCTCTTCGAATAGTCGCTAGATATCTTTGCATTTGGTGAAAGCAATTTAAATTCTTCCATTTTTATAAATGAATTCTCAATTTATCTTCCACTTTGCCGAAAACAATCCAGCACTCATATGTGTGGCCTTAGTGTTTACATCCGGGATAATCTTACAATGGCAAGTGAATTGTCACTCGAGTCTACTGACAACACTTTCGTGTGCTTTCGACTTTCTTTATTATACTCCGTGGGTTATTATTTTTTTCTTTATAGCTCTCCCTCTTCTTCTGTAATATAATAGAAAAAATATCTGATAGTATTGAAACGGGCCTCTTTCTTCTTCCATCTGCGAACATCTTTGTGTTTGGTGTGCTTGCGCATCTGTCATGTGGCTTAAACATTCTAATGTTACTGATGTTACCGGTATTCCGACACTCATTTTTTCTGTTGCTGAGTCTCTTACTCAAATATTGGATTCCCCTATTTGCTTTCCTAATAAATCTAGACAACATACTTTTTTAGTAGATTTGTTCCTTACCTAGGTCTTGTCGCGCTTTACAACACTGTCCTCTTAGCCACTAGGCTCACGATATTGATATTTCATTCCAATCATCTATTAGACAGGGAGCTCCTATTCATAAGATGTCTTTCCATTATTAGCATGCTGATTGGGATTCACTTCTTGGCTTTCTTCGAGACACCCCTTGGACTGACATTTTTAACTTCCCAATTGAAAATTGTACCACTGAAGTTTCCTCTTGGGTTAAAGTCAGCGTGACAGTTCCTCCCAACAGACGCTTATTCGTGATTGCACATAATAAACATAAACTTGTTCTCGAAGGAGCTAAGTCTCTGTTGAGAGAATGAGGCACCGTATTGTATCTAACAATTTTAGCTCTCGTGATTAAGGATTGAAGTGTTAATATCTTCTACTGGTAAAGCTGAATGTTTCGCTCATAGCTCTATTTAAATACAACTACTTGCTTATTCCAACTTAGAACTGACTTCCTGTTAAGTGATATGCATATAAACCCTTCCATGTTTTCTGCTAATATCTCTAATAAGCATGTGGACCTGACGGCATCCCTCTAATAGTCCTTATGAAAAATGCTCCCGAACTGGCTCTAAATTGTATAATAAAAGCCTCTTGCTTTCCTGCTTTGAATGCAATGTCAACCGTTATCTACTGTCACCCTGATTGCTCTTCTATTGTTCCTAATCATTTTCTTAATCCTTTCAGACGCAGT